GGAGACAAGTGTGAAATCATGCGGCCAAGCACTCAGAGCATCCAGAGCTTACTGGGAGACAAGTGGGAGACAAGGGTGAAATCATGCGGCCAGGAACACAAGCCCGGTGACAAACCCAATATCATCCGGCCCGAGCATGCACCCCTTTAAAAGGAGTAAGAACCCCTCACAGGTAAACCTGTTTGGGAAAAATATCAGGTCAGGGTTGGTTTAATGCGGTTACATGTGTGTATATATAATATGTATACCACCTTATTAAGCCAATCCACAAATATTATACAATAATTAACTTATTGAAAGCTGTCATGGGTAATGCTCAGCCCTAAATGACATCCAATTTTCCTTTTGCGCTAGACAGAGATGTGTTTTCCTGTGTTGTTTCCCTTTTCCTTTCTTTGGGTGTTTCTATTTTTGTTCGATTAATTTAATATGTCTTAGTGTTATTTTATTGCGTTCCTCTGGCATCTTTTGGCACCTGGACGAAGCAGTCTTTCAAGAGGTGTCCAGGCTTCAAGATTGAGATGTCTAGTTCAACTCTTTGTCAACATTGTATTAAGCAATCATTCCCTCTTGTCCAATTGGATGAAAATGATGGGTGTTCACCAAACATGACAAGGTTTTAATTGATTTTAATGGTATATAAAGAACTGGTGGACATGTCGCAAGATTGCCAGGGAGTGGTCTGAAAAGCCCTTCAGACCCTTGAGGACCCAGTTGGCCCTCGTCAGGGGATGATCAATTGATGCCATTGCCAATGCTGATCTAATCTTGTTACTAGTAGCGATGCACTTAAGTGTTCACGGCGCGAAAGAGACGTTTCTCTACCTGTGACCCGATCCTCCGCACCAGACACGCCGGCTGAGCCGACAGAGACTCAGTGGACCGGCGCGCCCTGCGAGCTGTGCGCTGGCCACGGCGAGCTCAATGGCGGGGCCGCCAGGGGGTTCGTGGCTGGCCGGGTTCACGGAATCTAAATGTTTCTCTGGGAAAAACATGTAATTGCAGTCTATATTTGCGTTCGTTCACTCGGCATCTCAGACACTTGTGGTTGTTCCATGGGATTATCCATTGTTGAAATCACGGTACTTCATCTTCGCCCGAATGCATCCCACAATCCTCGGCAATGTCCACAAAGCCACCACCAATTCCCAGAGGGCCGCAAAGGAAGTGTAAACAAGGACCTATATACTACCCTTGAACTTCCAGTTCTGTTTGCTTGCACGGCGTGACCTTGCCAGACACATATAGTTGCCCACAGTTCCCTCAGTGCCTTGGTGGTTTCGCGCTGTTCATGTTCCATCGATGATGACATATATTATGTTCATGCGTCATCGTTATCACACATTGTCACCGCTACGCATCATGGGGGGTGGGGTGGGGGGATGATTTGCTTCTGCTGGTTGTTTTAATATCATATGCAGAAGATCAGTGCATTATGCTATGTTTCTCTTGCTATCCAGAGACTGTCATCGCTGTCATTCGGTTGTCATCGTTGTTATTAGATTGTATTTGTGTCAATATTGTGAAGTTTATTTTCCGTTGGAAGAGGTTGCATGACAGAAGGGCTTAATGACGTTTGAAGGTTGATATCTGGAGGTCGAGGTTGTGATAAGCATGTTTGCGACTTGCGTAATGACTATTCAAGGTTAAATATGTGTCCGGAGGTGGTGGAGGTTGTGATAATTAAGTATGTTTGCAGCTGGCATGTTGCTGTTGCGGGAGTGACCAGACTTGATATACCTAGTAATCAATAGAAATGCTTTGATGCTAGGGTCTTGCTTTCTTGATTTGGTGCGGGTCTTGCGAGAGCGCACATACACATACCTGCAAAATATAGCTGGTAGACTTGTTAGTAGCGCAGTTATCTCTTTAAACCACCAACCACCACCCACCAACACCCACCACCCCCCACCACCCCCCACCACCACCCACCACCACCCACCACCACCCACCACCACCCA